AAAAAAGTCTTACGTGCCCATCTCTGTGACGTTCCCCCCTTCATAAAACATGATCGGTGCTGCATAGAGGTTTTTGGATGATATTTTTAGCATATTGATTTAGAATTTCGTCTTCTGTTTTGCTTTAAGTCTACCGAAATCAAGTTTTAATAGTTAGTGTTAGTTTAAACCACAGACTGACACAGACTGCTCATAGGCTCTCACGGGATAGCCTTACAGGCATATTGTTGTCCCGGCATTGCCATCTAACGGCCACTTGTTACATATGATACCCGTTCAGGGGTTAAGTTTTACAATTTTCAAAGAAAAACTCCAATTTTAAACAAAAAATATAAAACTTATGAATTCAGTCTATTTGTTAAGATTTTGTATTTCGTATCCAAAGGATCTTTGAATATCTGTCTGCTGATTGGTCGTGCACTCCAGTTGTACACAATGGAACCTGCTGTGGAAAATATTGCATTTACTAGTGTATGAGCAGCTTGTGTTAGTCTGTGTTTTGCATTTTCTTAAGATTAACCTGCTAGTCATTCATTAAATACTGCACTGCAGCTGTCAGTATCATACTAAACAAGAATTAGCAGTGATTGTGCAGTTAACAATTTTTTGGTATATCTACGGTTAAGGCCGTTAAAAGAACAAAAACTTTTAGCTGAACAATCAAACAGCTGTTTGATATTCTGTGCATTCCGTTAATTTATCCAAAAATTTACGAACGAGTTGAAAAAGTTTGAGTATACCCTGCACTAGAGGTGCCCTACTATAGAGGTAGGACTGGGTAAACGGATCAGCCGTTTTTGAAGAAAAAATTTAACTGTTAACAATGTTAACCAAAAAGCAAAAAACAGTAAATTTCGTTAGTAATTAAAAAAATTGAGATCATTAACTAGCATTAATTTAAAAAAAGGAAAATGCAGTTAACAGAACGAACTTTCCGTTCTTAACTTTTAAATTAACAAGCTTACTGAAATTCTTAATTTTAACAATTGGAACCAACCATTAACGAAACGGCTAGAAAAAGTTAGAACGTGCCCAGCCGTTTATAGAGGTAGAGAGTGAGGGAAAAGAGACAAAATTTTTAAAAAAGAGCTGGAAATTATCCACCTTAACCATCAACTAAATGTTATTCTTTTGATATGATTACGATCATCCCAGATTCTGAAAGGATCAATAAATTTCTATTAATGGCTAAATTGGGATTGATTGTCCATGATATTATGTTGTTGTCGTTAAGCTGAATTAAAGAATTAGGGTTATTTTGTGAAGAAAGATTATTAAGATCATGTTCATGCATGCCTTGTGAATTGAAACTTTGGATAGAGTCTGGTTGTGAGTGAGCAGGCTGATGATGAGGTCTTGGGATGGGTTAACCAGCACGTTATTGATGAGTTTGAGCTGCCTGGAGGGTAGGTTGCAGGCTAGAAGAGAAGTGCATGGTTTGATGGGCCAATTAAATTTTTCCTAAGGAAGGAAGCTGCCCTGTAACCAGAACTTGGAGTTGATTTGGTCACATTTTGTACCAGACCTTGTGAGCAAATGAGCTAGGTTGATATTTCAATGGCACCAGAACTAGCTGTTTGGTATAGAAACGGATGTAATTTCCATGAATTGGGTCCCATAAAACACTGGAGGACTAGCAGGATCATTTTTAGCGATTATTTTCGAAACCATCTCCAAGTCTCCAATAAACAAGAGGGAGAAAGGTTGACAGTTTCTGACTTATTTTCGGCTCCATTCTGGTGGCCAGAACTGCTCCTGCAATTTCAGATTGAGGTCCAGAAAATACAGCTATACCCATAATCTTTGCTGAACTGGAGAGCAAATTAAACTGGTTGTTAGAGAAGGCATAAACGCATGAACCGTAATCTTGCAGGCTGCCATCAAAGAAGATGAAGAGTTGGGCAGAGTAGTTGAAGATGATTTGTTGAGGAAAATAAATATCCATAGTGAGTAGAATTTCATTGACTGCATCTCGAAATTTGACTGTGCGTTCCTCGGACAAGATGGAGTTGATGGAACAGGATGGATGGCAGCATAATTTACTGAATAGTGATCGTACAGAGAACATCAGGGGAGCTGATAGAATAGTTGGATAGTAGAACTGACAAGCTACTGAGAGGACATTCTTCTTGATAATGTGTCAGGATGGTCCATGAGAAATTCTGAATCAAGATCAGCTCCTAGAGGGATTCGGCAAGCTTTTTCATGAAGGTTGAGGCCGAACTTTAAAAGATAACAATCTCAGAGACAATCCCAAGCTATTCCCAGATATTTGCTGGAGCCATTTTCTCTGGAATGTTCCCAGGATTTGATTTGAAAACCTACCTTATCTAGGATGGGTTCAATTTCTTGCTTTACTTTAAAGAGCTCTGCAATGGATTTGGCTACTACCCCTCTTTCATTAATGTAGGTGTCCTCCAGTACTGCTTGAAGAATGATCGGTTGGAGAAGGGGGGGAGTCCTTGATAAATTTTTGAACAGTGGCTACCTTTGTGCAGGTAGCATAATCACCTGACGCACTGTCTCCGAATGGTATCGCTTGATCTCGAAAATATCTCCAGGTAGGTTTCAGAGTAGGTGGACTGGAAAAGAGGTTAGCTGGAACACAGACAATCCTGAGGCATGAGTCTTTGTCGCTTATGAGTACAGATCTAAAGAACTTCTTGATGTTGAAGATGGCATAGTAAAGGTGGCACCTGGAATGTGTTAGGATTCTCCTGAAGTTAGGGACATCTCCAGGTGCAGGTTGGGTTATGTCGTTTAAGCTGAGGCCGGATTCAGTGCCCATGGAACTGTCCATTGTCATTCTCACCTTGATGGAGGTGCTGGTGTTGGACACTAAGAAGTTGTAGGCCACAAATGAAGATGGTGAGACTTCCTCTCTTCCTCTTGATAGTGGATCTCGACATAATTCCCATTGTCAATTTGTCCCTGGATATATTTGTCCATTTCTGCCGCAATTTCTGGTTGTTTGCAGATTCTGATATGCAGAGCAATAGTAATTTTCTCAGAGTTCTGGTAGATTTTCTCTGTAGAGGCAGACAACGGAGGTCTTGTTGGTGAAGGTGTTCCAGTGGTGTTGGCCATGATATCCTGTATCCCTTTCTCCTTGGTGATCTTCAACAATTTGTCTCGGTTGGAAGGACTGGTGAAATCTTCAGCTGAAGTAGTGAAAAGGAAGTGGTCCTGGAGGTTCTGGATGGCGCAGAACTTGACAAACATAGTGTTGAAGGCGGATGAGATGATTGGCTCCTCCCAGGTGATGGTGTTGACATTGACGAAGCGGTACATTCAGGTGATATTAGTTCAAAACTATCACTTGGCCCATAGAAGTCATTGTCATGGATTTTCTTTAAATTTTGCACACAGCTAGCATATGATGGTAGGTTTAGGCTCCTGTGACCTCTGGTTGCTGAGTTAAAGCCTCATATAGTTCCGGCCTTGAGGCAATTTTTCGGCCTGACCTCGCATGCTTTAAAGTTCTAATTTTAACGCCATTTTTTATTTAGTGTTTCTATACTCCGGGCTCTCAGGATGCTGCAAGACGAAGTATTAAGGGGGGGGGGAGGGGGAGAGAGGAACTCCCACTCCTATCTACCATTGATTCTGAATATAAATCAAATATCAGTTAATTTCTTAAAATAAAGAATAATATTATTGACAATCCGCCTGTGCTTTCTGTTAAACCCTGAAACTAAAGAAAATATCAAGAAAAGAAAATGTAAATCTTGTAAATCTTGTAATGTGGATTTATATGTAAAATGGGCATACCTGAACATTAATTCTGATAATAACCAGGCCCGTAGCTAGGAATTTACAGAGGGGGTGGCACAAAAGTAATAAAGAGCATAGGTAGATATGGCGCCATGACAAACTCCTGAAAGACAATTCTCCTGAAAGACAAACTCCTGAAAGACATACTCCTGAAAGACAAACTCCTGAAAAGACAAACTCCTGAAAGACAAACTCCTGACGAGACAAACTCCTGACAAGGGCGTATACAGGGGGGGGCATGGGGGCAGTGCCCCCCCGTAGACTTGTAAAGGGGGAGGGCGTAGCCCCCCCCTAGAATTCTGCAAGCCTTTCACAGTACTTTTCAAATCTTAACTGAAGAATGAAGAACACAAAAAAAAATAAGTTTTCTTTTCATGATTATTATAAAAAAATAAAAATCAAAATTTTAAAATATATATAATTACAGTGCAGTGCTCATGCTGTAACCAAGTTAACCTAACCAACCTAACCTAATTTTAACTTTTTAAGTTCACAGAGTACACAGAGTTTAGTTGGGTTCAGAGAACACACAGTCTGCATACATTTGTACAGCTCACACACTTTACATTATATGCTAGTCTTGTTTAGTAGTGATGTGAGTCTGTTAAAAATGGATCTTATATGTTAGACGTGGATATAATTGACCATGTGGCCGCAGCGCTTGGCCCCCTAAACTGTCCTAGCCGCAGTGCTCGGCTCAGAAAGTGTCTTAACTAACCTAACCCATGGCCGCAGCGCTCGGCCCCCTAGCCTGTCCTAGCCGCAGCGCTCGGCCCAGAACGTGTCTTAACCTAACCTAACCCTAAATAATAAAAAATAATTAATAATAAATTTGCTGGTTGTTCTGATCATTGTAATACTTTGCTGCTTGAAGCATATTCAAATTACTAAAGATTGAGAATTTTTTCTAGGATATTTGCGGATTTTTTCTCCAAAAGTTTATGAATTTTATCATATTTCATTCAGAGAAAAATTTCATAATTTCAGGAGATTGTCTTTCAGGAGTTTGTATTTCAGGAGTTTGTCTTTCCGGAGTTTGTCTTTCAGGAGTTTGTCTTTCAGGAGTTTGTCTTTCAGGAGTTTGTCATGGCACCGTAGATATGTAAGGGGAGCGCCGCAGGTGGAACATTTTTTGAACTGAACAACTTAAAAAGGGTCAAAATTAATGAATGAAGAATAAAAAACTTGATTTTTAACTTATCAAACATTATAGTTTATTAAGATAGATATTTTGCCTGTTTTCTTTCCCGTAAGTGCTATTGAGAAGCTATTAGCATCAAAGCAAAAAGAAACTGGCGGTATTTTTTAAGATGTAGAGATTTTAGTTTAACTATAAATAAAAGTACTACTGAAAATAGCCAATACTTCGTTTTTATAAAGGGAAAGTAAAGATCAAGAAAAGCTCAAGCATTTTGTTGAAAGTAAATTTAAAAAAAAAAACTCCCTGCAAGCTTGAGGATGAGTACAAATAGGGATTGGCAATGTTTAACAACAATATCAGAGAAGGTTCTGACATTTTTAAACTTTATCAAACTTGGAAATTTGTTACTCTAGAAGAAAATATAAGGCAAAAACGATAGTTGTTGGTTCGTTTGTGCCCTTTATATTCACATAAGGTAATAAATTTGCATGTTTGATAAAAACAAACTTTTCCAGAATACAATTTTTAATCGTTGGAACCTTCTCAGATTGTCGTAAAACCTTATAAAAGTCTAAAAATATATTTTTTTTGTAAAGCTAATCTAGATATTGCCTATCGTTAAGTACAAACGGCTTCTCCTAAAACTGGCCATATTTTGTATATAATTTAAATTTGTCTCCATGCTAATATTTGCTTTACGATGGTTTATTAGAATCATTAATCTAAGAAAAGGTGGGAAAAGGGTAAGCTTCTCAAAATACAAAAAATTTATTCAAACCCTATTATTTCACAAAGCAGGATTGAAATATAATTTCCCAAATTATTTATTTCAGCACTCAATTTTTTTAATTTGAAGAAATTTTAATCCTTTACACACAACATGAAAAAATTAGATTTTATTCAAATTTTCTCCCTTTTTCCTTCTTTCTTTCATTCTGTTCTTTTTTTCATTTTGTTCTTTTTTTGCCTCAGAAGGTGTGCCCCCCGTGCCCTCCCTTCTGGGGTAAAAGGGGGGCACGTNCTCGTTACGGGCTGCAGACTATCGTCAACTGAGACTGAGACCTAAATCTGGCTGAAAGCATACTGCAGTACAGTGTACAGTGTATACACTATACAGAACATGCTTAAGTTTGTAAAATCGGGTTTCTGTATCTTCATCCTACTCCAGGGTCCTACTAATACAGCAAAGTGGAAAAAATAGAAAGAATACATATATTTGGTTAAATTTCTTTCCTACAAATTGTACAGCTTGTACAACACCCTAGGGATGGCCAGAATTTAAAATCTCAAAAAAATGTTGAAAAATTTGCAAAAATGTTTTGTTATTGTTTGTTAATCTAAGAAGAAAATCTGCCGCAGAGAAACAGTTAAAGGCATAGATAATAGAATATATATTAGAGGGGAATTTACAGAATCTCTCGGTATGAATTTTTTCAGTCCCTTTCAGCCTGAAAGGGAGTTCAAAGTGTACAAATCATGTAAATATTCACAAATTATATGGAGTAGAGTACATTGATACAGTATGTTCCCTAGACTATTCATTTCAATTTCGAATTTTTTAAACTGTTAAATGAACTTTATAATGAATTAGGTGAATAAAAAACATCATTTGATTTATAGTTATAACGGAAAATCATCGTTTGTGAAGTGGAAGGCATAAAGTCTATGTGAAATGATCATTGGTCAATTATGAAACCAGCCTATTTCATAATTTGGTTTTCTTTTAACAATAGTTTTAGATTTTCTATAAAATGATATTCCAGGGCCCAAAAGGTTATATAGCACAAATATGTGAAGTACACCTGCAGTATGGAAACAGTACAACAAAATGGCCGTTTTACACTTTTGTCTAGTTAATTCCCCTCTAATATATATTCTATTCTCTATGGTTAAAGGCCTGTATAGTGTATAAATACATACATGAAGTTCTGTCAACTAATGTTCATATCAATCTCTCAAAATGAAGCACGTATTTTCTAATTGATAAAATACTTTAGCATTTTAATAAGTATCTGAATTTCTCAACGAGGTTATAGTGTATAGAGTGATGATGTACAGTAATGCTTTACAAATTGTATAGGCCAGGAACGATACCGAGAGCGTACTGCATATTTGTTTATTATAAGGAGATTTTGGCCTAACTTATAGTATATCATTATTAGTAAACATTTGTAAGTGTTCAGTTCAGCTAACTGAGCACACAGGTAGGAAACTATCATCCCCCCTGATATTTCTAGATTTTTAACCTAAAACATGAACCTTGCCAACTGAAGTTATGATTTCCAATAGTCAAATAAACTTGAAACAAGGCAATTGTGTAGTGTACCAAAGTGATTAAATAATAAAGTGAGCCAAACTCATAGTTGGATGACGACATTTTATGTCCTAGTATTTAAAAATAATATATATATATTTAATTTATAATATATGGAATTTTAGTAGTTCCGAGAATTGTAACGACTGAGGATCGTCATGATGGCGTGAAACATTATGTTTAGTATAATTCTTTTCCAATAAAAAATGTGAAGTTAAGAACTAAAATATATATATATATATATATTGGTCTTTACAGAGTGCACAGTACAACAGAAACGGGACTACCTTTGTTTACAAACAACACAGACTTAAAATTTGTATTTAACTTAAATATAGATTAACGTAAATTAAGATTTCAGAAGTGAATTTTAGCCATTTTACTGCACAATAAATGATTTCAGACAGCACAATAATGCATGAATGCATAATCTGTAAAACAAGAAATGCACAATTTGTGATATCGATAAATAAAGATCTTCGAAATATATCTATTGGTCTTCACTTTTGTATTTAAACAGATGTTAGAGTGGTTGATAACTAAGACATACAGGTGTCCCATGAAACATGGCATTTAATAAATCGTTATTTTTAGTCAAAAAATCTTTTGCCTCATTGTCTTTTACTTTGAAATCAATTTTAATATAACATGACTCCAATTTAATATTTTTATTGATCTTTGGTTGATCAAACAACTTAACAAAGACATTGTAAATTTTTCACCAGCTGTCTTGTTTCGTGGGACACCCTGTATGAAAAAGATAATAAGAGAGGCATATTCAGGTTTTTTCCCGGAAGGGCTTACATTTCTTTTTCTTTTTAGAAAATTAGAAGTGGCAGTCAAAATCAATGTATTGATTAAGCGACTGTATTTAATTCACATATAAAATACATACAAACATACAAATTTGTTAGATTTTTAATTATGAAAATTTCGAAGTTCTAATTAAAGACGACATTTACATGGGTCTTTAGTCTATTTTTTCTAGTCTTTACTTCCCAAAAGAAATCTTTTCATGCAATTATTTCCGATCCAAACAAAACCTTATGGCCCAACCTGTCATCGTTGCCTTAGTCTGTTCCACTTGGGTAGTGTACACAAACCCGTTACACTTAATAAGTAAATTTTTTGCTACAAGTAAATCATTTGCAAATTAAATGCATTTGTAAAATTTCTTTGTTTCCCTTTTTCAGAGTTTTAGGGAGTTTCATTGAACAAATAAAAAACCTTTAATGTCTCAGAAACATTTATAAGATTTGAATTTTCGCATGTCACAAAAAAAATCGTTTATTAATTTTCACTATAAAACAGGCCCGTTTATAATCTGTATTAACCTGCTTATATTTATAAGTCAGTATCAGGCTTTTTTATTTTTCACTTTAGAACGGAACTGAGTTGTTGTTACATATTCTAATCCCCATATCTTTCAAAGGTCTACGACAATGGGTTGAAAAGATAAAGTGATTAAAAATTAGAGTTTGTGGCATAAACTCACTTCCTTTAAACTTGAAATGAAAACCATTAGTCTTACCTGTCACCATTCATCAGTCATCTCTCATACATATGTCATATATAAAACGTTAAGTTAATCAATTTAGTATTAGAGAAAAGTTATAAAACGTTTTTGATTTACAGAATTACATCTTTTGGAATGTTTTACGTTACATTATTGAAATTTATAATCTGTAAAAAAAACTTTCGTTTCCTGACTATATTTGATTAATAAACCATTTCTAAAGCGTTTAACTTTTCATTGCAATATCAGGAAAAACGTTTCAAAAGGTTTTCATAAACAGAAATGCATTTTTTAGTTCTAGAACGTTACACTTTTTAAAACTTAAACTTTGAAATAGAAATCCTTTCGTAACGATGTGCAATCGAATCATAATTGATTTTTCAAACGTTAGACTTTACAGCTCCTCATTGAATTAACACGTTTCTTTACGTTATTGTCAACAACGTTGCGAGTATTGAAACATAACGTTAGGTTACTATAAAACGCTAAAGTTAGGTGTATGTTCCTCTTACGTGAAGGTTTAACGTTAACTTTAAGTATAAGCACATGACGTTAACGTTATAGAACAACAGTTTCAAACGTTTCCTATTACTGTAACGTAACGTACAAAAACGTACGTTTTATGTTACGTTGCATTATCGCTGATAACTCTATTATGTACCTACAGTACACGTTTTCGGTTCGGTTTCCTTACACACATTCTTTTGGTACAGACACACACACATGACGTTTCCGCCCCTGATCTTAACGCAGTAACCATTACCAATAATACTGAATTTTAAAATAGAAATTGATAGAAAAGCTACTTTCGTAGTCGACCCTAGAAATAATTTTCATAATCGATAACGATTAGATTGATGTAAAAATATTTTTAAAATTCCAAATCAAAGTCAGCAAAATTTTAGTTAATTTGTTGCATTATATCTTCAGAATTCTTAATCCTAAAAAAATGTTTTTGCACTTCCCATTAAAAAAATAACCCCAGGTCCAGAATAGACCTATTTTAATAAGTGCAGATATGTCGACATTTGCAATAGAATAGATTACCTGAACATTTCATCTAAACTTCTGGCTCAAACAACTGTAACCGTGAAGTTTAAAGACCTAAAACCATAAATAGGAAGAAAATATATAAATTCTTGTTGACAAAGTGCAGCTTTATGTATTTTGGATACTTTCCAAATTTAAGCACGACCTAATCACAATTCCTTCCCTACTCACACGTCCAAAATATGAATCCTTGCTCGAGAAACCTTAAATGAATTTATCACAGTAAAAAGATGACAAGTTGACCTACCAAAGGACAAAATTATAATGATTAGATAAAATACTTTATGTGAGATCTTTAGAATTATACACAGAAATAGCTTTAATCTACCAAAACATTGAGTTAGCAATTGAAGACGACCTTTTTTACAAACTCTTCCTAATAATCTAGATTTCAATATAATCTCACACCAAAGATTACACAAAAGGACAAAGGACAAACGGATATCTTGTGTGAGAATATAGATAAATATTTAGAATTTTACACAGGAATAGCTTTAATCTGCCAAAACATTTTGTTAGCTATTGAAGACGACTTTTTTTAAAAAAAAATCTTCTTAATAATCTAGAGCTCAACATAATATCACACCAAATATTACACATAAAATGTTTGAATAATTCTTATAAAGCTTAATAATCAGAGATAATAGAATCTATGCCCAATTATTTAAATTTTTATGAAATTATTGATAAAATCTATTTTATATAAATAAATCGGTAAATTCCAAGAAATTTGTTAAATTTTTCCTAAAATTTTCAAATTTTCGTTTAAAATCCTATGTTTTTGCAAAATCTTTTGACAAACCATTTTTGCTAAATTTTAACCTAATTTCACGAATTTTTTTATAAGTTACTGAGAGATTAATCCGTTACCCCCTTCCCCTTACTCCTTCTGTATAGAAAAGAATAATAAAGTTTACCCATGAATTGCAAAATGAAAAAGTATCAAATCCAAACTAAAATTTAATTGTTTAGAATTTTTATCCTTAAAGATATTAAAGATTTACTGTCTGCCATTGTGTTTAAATTAAACTGATTGTATATTTTGAACAATATTGATCATGAACTGATAGATTATAGATTTTAACAATCATTTACAGTGAAACCCTTAATAAAGAATACATCGGAAGAATTTATTAAATGTCGTCTTGACAATTTTTCAATGAGTTTTATACTATATTAGGTAAATTTTAGTATTTGCGAAAATAAATAAATAGCCATGAATATGCGGGAACAGTATTAGAGTTCCATATAATCATTTAATTAAAAAACTAAATATCTGCAACATTTCATTATTAGAAAGTGAAGAATACGACATTTGATGAATTCTTTCGATGTATTCGTTATTAAGGGTTTCACTGTACTAAAATTAAAATGTTATGACAAAATTCATAAAATCATTCAAACATAAAATACTGTAGAAATTGCAATCTCATCGAATGATTACACCGTCTATTTTTAACCCTTTTTAACCATCTCTTCCAGTGGTTTATCGACTTTCTCTGTCTGTGTCCTACAGACCATATCTCTCATTGAAAAAAATATTAACTGTATATAGGCAATATTAGGCAGTCTAAAAAAATATATATATTTCTAATCAAATCTAAGTATAAACTGTAAAACCTACAGCAATTTATCCCAATCAAGAATTTATTCTATATCTAAATAAGAACATATATTATATATGTATATATTCAACAGTCATTACAACCCAAATTCAAATTTATAGTAAAAGTTGAAATATACACTCTAAATAACAAATTAATAATAAAAATTTTTAAATTTAGGTAAATGAAAAGTTTTTTTTTGTCCTAGAACTCTCATTTTTGACACTATCATATCCCCGTGAAATTTTGTGACTTTTAATGAATAGTAATTTAAAGTATTTTTTGTTAAAAGAAGGGGGTACAGGAAGGAAAAATTTGATATTTTTTAAAACAAAAAAAGTAGTTTTTCATTTTTTTACCCTTCTTAGGATTTTTTTCCACCCTCCCTAGCACCCAAACTATTAAAGTTATCGGTCTAATTTTTTTTCTTTGAGCTGGTCATGAAAAATTGGGCTATGAACATGCATTTCAACCCTATACCTATTCTCTAAGGCCTTTCATGGGGGGGGGGCGTTACGCCCCTCCCGCCTGGCTGTACATAGATTCAGACCCCCCAGCCTTTAAATAGAGCAGATTACATAAACAATTTCTCTTTAATAAGCTGGTCCCCTTAAGTGATATAAATATCATGTTCCTATTTCATCAGGTTTATGGGTCTCTAACTGTTTTTAACCATTTTAATGTGACTTAATTAATAGAAAAAAGGTAAACTAGCAAATAATCTTTAGAAAACAATCAGCCTCTAAATTTATTTAACAAATGGTTGATCAGTAGAAAAGGATAAAAGCTTTGGGGGAAAACTATTATTCAAAATATTATTTCAGGAGACATTAGTTCCAAACACTTTAGAATCCCGGCTAGGGTTTCCATTCGCAAAACTGTTGCGCAAGTTTTGCGCGAAAAAAAACAACAATTTGCGCAATCATTCGCAAAAGTCATTTCGCGCAAAATTGCCCTTTTCCGTTTTTGCGAAACTCAAGTTGTGCGCAATTTTGCAGCTAGAGTTTTGCGCAATTCCACAATTTCGTAAAAATCAAACGGTTGGTGACGGTACGTGTGTGTTTCTTAGAATTCAATTTTTTCAGTGCTGGAAGGTTTTTTATTTATATGAGATTAAATAAAATTTCAGAAATTTTATTTAAAAAATTTAAGAATATAATTCATACTTGATTAGGCAAAGCTTTTAAGGGTCACTTGAAATTATTTAATAGGATTAAAATATTGCCAAGTTTCACGCTCTCTAATTTCTATTTTATTAATTTTGGTCTCTTAATTTAAACTTTTTGTAACTGGAAGTAACCAATTAAGTGTAGTATAATCGTTATCATACTCGTATGTTAATATTATTTTTATGTATGGAATAAATCTTCAGTTGTTTAATTCTAAGCTTAAAATATCAATTTTTGACAATTTGCCTAAAAAGTTACATCTTGCGTAAAACTTGCGGTTTTGCGCAAATTGCACAAAAAATAGCGCAAAACCGCGCAAAACTCATTGCGTTTCATGCGCAAAAATAACGCAAAAGTTCGGAAAAAAATATTTTGCGCGAAAATAGCGCAAATTTTGCGCAAAAGATTTAGCCATTTCGTAGAAACCCTAATCCCGGCCCACAGGAGTAAAAGTCGATAATAACCAACAATTTATTAAGAATGGGGAGGACAACCATTTCATATTTAAAACTGTTTTCTGAAATTAAAATTATAAGAGGAGTTCTTTTCTTAAAACCCTTTACCGTTTTCAACACAATGCCAGGTTTTCCATTTTCGAACATATCCAGAATTGGAACAATTGTTAAAATTAAAACTAAATATTTTTGGAAATTTTTCCGAGTTCTGACCCACTTTCAGATTTTTTTAAAACCTCCCTTGTACCCTTACCATTAGAGTAGAGGTATATTTTTGTATAAGCTGGCCTTGAATAGTTGAACTAAGAATATGTGTATCACACTCCCCTTTCTCAACTCTAAGGACCTTTTCTACTCTAATTTTTTTTTAATTTAAGTACAAGTTTTGCGTGTGATTGGATTTTTCCTTTCAGCAAATGACGTCACAAAATGGATGGAAGACTATAAATGTGTTATGGTTGAAGCGTTAAGGTTGAGGGCATCACATACAAAACTGCATTTTTTTGGTAAAGATTGGACTATGCCGCAAATAAATGATTGTGAGTCATTTGAGGAAAGGAATACAAACGAGTGCCTTTCCCCCCCCCCCCCTTCTCGTGGAACAAACAAGTATAAAAAATAAAGAATATGCCAAGCATATGAAATGAATAATGATTTTGGAAAACTTAACCACAGTCACCGTTCTAAAAAATCTAAAAATTTATGTTATCATAAATTTCGTCATTCTGTTCAGTTTCTTTAAGGGGGAAGATGTATACACATCTGTCGTAAATTAATTTATATTTGTTAAACTAATTGTACTTTAAAGAAGTATTCAGCCAGGAGTGTACTCAAGAATTTGTCCAGGGTGGGGGGGAGCTTAAATTTTTGTTCTTTCCAGACTGGAAGGG